AAAGAGTGTGTTTGTTAAAACCACCAGCCTACAGGTTTGATTTTGCTGAAAACTCTCTCCCTGACCTCGGGCAATCAGTCACTAACTGGACCTCAGGGTGAACAAACAATCCAATTTGCCAGGGACTGAGTGGTTTCCTGGGACATGGGACTTTCACTGCTAAAACCAGGATACTCCATCATCCTAGCTGAGTTCCATATCCGTAAAAACGAGATTGGATTGGACTAGAAAGGGGTGGGAAATTCTGCCAAATCCTGCATTCAGGCAGACATTGCCAACTGCCCTTGGCACTAATTCCTGTGAACTTAAGTGTATCCTCACAATCCTTTGCAATAAGGCCAGCTACTGTCAATCAGAGTTGGCACCTATTTGCCATACTTGGACTGAGTTTTTGACAAGCTGAGATTTTAAGGATCAGAATTTATTGAAGACCAACTTTGAGTCAAGCTCTGCCATAAATCCCATATCAGGCTCTCTCCACCTTGGGCTAAATGACTTCCCTAGAACTTGTGGATCTTGTTTTTTAGAATTTGCACATTTGTGTAAATATATGAACTGGTATTGGGTTATATAAGTCAGCTTGTTCTTTAGAAACTTAAATTTACTGAGTGCTCATCATGTGCTAGAATTACATAAAGGCTCTCATGCTAACACTACGAGCTTGTGAGTGCCTGCATTTTGGAAAAATGCAAACTGAGGCTTAGCGCGGTCCAGTGCCTATCTAAGGGACTCAGCCAGCAGGCAGGGGAGTTGAGTAAGATCCCATTTGAGGCCCTTCTGACTCCAACAGCTCCGACCTTTCCACCATGATGCGGATTCAGATGGATTCTTTGGTCTCTTTCCACCTTTAGTCTTTGATGTGCACAGCCTACACCCCTCCCGGTCGGTTCTCAGACGCAAAGTCTCCAAGGACTTAAGTTTCCTCGCGTTCACGTGACATTTTGGGGTTACTCCGCGCTGCTGTGGAGCCCAAAAGTTCCAGAGGAAAGGAAGAACCCGCACGGGCCGCTCCCTGTCTCCAAGAACCAGGCAGATCCCCACCGGACGATTCCACACCAAGTGGCCCGCGGGCGGTCCAGGGAAACCGGCCGTTCCCAATTTGCAATCCCAGCAACAGCAATAGCGGGCTTCTCCCTTTGGCATGCCCTCTTGAGCACTCACGCTTTTAGGGTTTGTGAGGACCGCAGCTAGGGAACACCTCGTCTGGCTTTCTCTGCACTCTCTGATCATGACAGATCCTGAGCATCTTTTCATTTGAATGTGCTGTTTTCTCAAACGCGGGTGAGTACCACTGAGGTCTCGAAATGCTTCTGCCTGAGACCCACGCGGGCGGGCGCCTGAAACAAAGAGAAGCGAGAGTCAGGGCGCCGCGGGTGCGCGGTCAGTCGGTCAGCGCAGAGCCGGCCAGAGGGTGCCCGCGGAAGCCCGGAGCCCGGCCGGCCGGCGCAGCCTCAGGGCGGGAAGATGCCGCGCGTCGTGCCCGACCAGAGAAGCAAGTTCGAGAACGAGGAGTTCTTCAGGAAGCTGAGCCGCGAATGTGAGGTGAGGCAGGCGGGCGGCGGGGAGGCCGCGGCGCGCCCCGAGCGGGCCCGGGCGGAGAAAAGTTTGGGCGGCGCGGCTCCCGGGAACCCCGCGCCGGCGCGCCTGCGGAGGGGCAGTCTCGCCGGGGCAGCCATCTGCCCGCAGACTCTGGTTGCCCTTATCGGTGCCGCGCGGGGCGGGCGGCATCGCGGATTTGGCTTCTGATTTCGGGCCGTCTCTGCCTTGCAGATTAAGTACACGGGCTTCAGGGACCGGCCCCACGAGGAGCGCCAGGCGCGCTTCCAGAACGCCTGCCGTGACGGCCGCTCGGAAATCGTAAGTCGGCGGGGCAGGGGGCCGGGGGCACAGGGGAGCGAGCCGCGCGCGGGTCACTTGTTGCGCGGGGGCCGCCGCGGCCCAGGCCGGTTCCGGACGGCGCAGCGGACGCCGCGGCTCCCGGAACTGAGCGGGCGCCGTCTCACTTCCTACTCGGGATTCAAAATGCGAAACTAGACACTGGCGGGCCGCGTCCTCGCGGGGAGACTCTTCCCTGTGGTTCTCGGCGGGTGGATTATGTTTCCCAGACACGACTCGGCAAACACTTTGCCGCGAGTGGAACTCAAACCGGAGCCCAACTAAACAAGGAAAGGTCTTTGTATAGGCTGTGACACTGATTAAAGAAAGGGTCGGTTATTAGTAGGAGGAAAACACCCTTACGGAAAAAATTGGGCTTCGTTCAAGATTCTGATTCTTGGGCGATAGTTTGTGTCTTAGACGCTAGATTTTTCGTAAACCTATATGTGAAACTGTCTTATTTTCAGTATAGCTGAGAATAAATCTGAGAGTAAATCCAGTTATCTGTCCTAATAGAGGGGGAAAAAAAGCCCTCAAGAACGTGCCATCTTCTTTTTTTAGAATGTTAAGCTTCAGGAGAATCAGAAAGAAACCATTTGGTGTTTTTTTTGTTTTTTGTTTTTTCCCCAAACCTAAAAAACATATCCCGTTTAGGCCTGAAGTTACTAAAGAATCGCATGGATTTGCAAAACCCACTGTTGATCCGAGGCCCTGTTTTAGGTGGTGGATTTGGTGCCTTACCTCCATGAAACCTAATGCTGAAAAAAATTCAAGTGTCCTAGTTCCCCTCATCTCCTTTTGGTTTGTCCTACTGGAGGTGCTAATGAAGAGAGAATGATGAAGCCAAAAAGTGCATAGGAAAAAACTAAAGAGAAGAGGTTGATTATTAATTTTAAAAGTTGAAGCACTGTATAATGGAATCTGATTATCTGCTCCATGACTTGGACCATTGCATCTGCACACACTTGAAGGTATGGAAGCAGTTTGAATTTAGGTTAACAATAGGAAGACATATTGAAACATTTGCTTCTCCCATTCCTTGTACAGTAGAGAATCTATTTATTGGTATTGAGACATAATTCACATATCATAAAATTCTCCCTTTTCATCACTGAAATCGTTTATTTTTAAAAAATATTTTGATGCTTAAAATGAAGGCTTTTTAGAATTGTATTACAGATCATGAGAAGATACTGGCTAAATTTATTAGGAACTCTAGAATATTTGGTCATTATTGCACATTATAAAAGAAAGTGTCTAGATTTTAGCCCACTTTTTTGAGTGTTTGTAATAGTTATATGATTCAAATGTACAGGACAAATACTTTCTGGTTTTGGCACTGAGTGGTAGAAGAATCATTCATTAGCTGGCTCGGTGATTATATCATCCTTTGTCTGGATTTCCTTTTGGAATAGGTGGATGGTATACCCAACCCATGGATGTTTTGGAAGTAACTTTATATTTGGAAGGAATTTCACATTTCCCTCTCTTTCTAGTCCCCCCCCCCACCTTTAATTCAATGTTAGCCATATTTAAATTGAGAGATTTTTAGCTTCTAGAGGATGGAGACCACATTAATTCCATTTATGCCCCCTCTGTATGGGTTTTGCACAGTGTCTTTTGCATTATAAGTACTTGATTATTTGAATTTAGAGGTTACTTCGTTTAATGCCCAAAATATATCTTATGACTTATAAACAGGCTGTGGTTTTTACTTATTTGGTGGTGGAAAATAGGCGTGGAAAAGGCATTTTTTTGCTTCTGTTTTGATAGCAGCCATGTATATAAAAATATGAGTAGTTCCCAAAACTATATCCAACACTTTCTCCGCTCTCTTTTATTCTTTTTATTATGAACATCTCCTTAACTTTATCAGTGAGGTTAATGAAGGATTTATTTTGTATTTAGATGCGAAACAGTGTAAGGCTGTGATGCTCATCTCTTCTTAGTTATAAAACTTATCCAGACTCCATATCATAGCATGAAATAAAAGTGATTATGGGTGAGGGGTAGAATTTATTTGGTAAAATCTGATTTATTCCTTATATAAGCTCTTGTAGTAGGAGTGTTAGAGATATCTTCAACACTAATGATTAATAAAAGAAAAAAAATACTTATGAGAGGTATGGTGACTACTGTGAAAGCAGTAAAAACTATATATTTTTAATCCTGAAGATGGAAGAATAAAAGGTATGTTGGACTGGCACAGGTGTGCTATTTTACAGTTTAATGAAACCTGTATAGTCAGGACATTCTAGAAATCCTCCATACAGACACTTTTACCAGTGTGACATCTTTATGTTTTCAAACAGAATTTTCCCAACTCCTAGGTATGTGTAGGTGTTCCAGTAAAAAAAATAAAATAAAGAGTTCTGTGGTCAGATAAATTTGGGAAATGGTATTTTAGAGTGATCTGTTTTTACCACTTCTCCTGTCTTAGAGAGGGCTGTTGATGAGATAATGGACATGAAGTGATGAAGCAGGAAATCTCTTCTGAGGTTGGCCTTCAGGCAGGAGGTGAGGTAATAAGAGCTGCGGAGTGTCTTCACCTAACACAGAGCTGATTTGGGGTATACTGGTGGCAGAAGGATTTGTAACTAGGTGAATACTGAAGAAACATGGCTACGGGATTTTGACAGAGCGTATTCATTCATGGGCAGAATCTCTTATCTGCCCTGAGAATTTCATTATCTGAGACTGACAAGGTTGGCTGTCTTCTTCAGCTCAAAATTACTTCTCATTGTATTTAGCAAATACAAGTAGCATTTACTTGGTACTGTTCTAAGCACTTTACAAATACTGGAAACTGAGGTTCAGAGTTAAGTAATTTGCCTCAGGTCACACAGCCTAGGCAGTTTGCCACCTAGTGTCTATTTTCATTTGAACTATATTAGTTCATTTCAGTTCAATGGTTGTTTTTTAAACTTATGCTAATAGTGGGCAAATTTTTTTTTTAAGATTAATATTGTAATATTGATGTTTGTTCAGTCTCTATTCATATAAAACATTTACCACAAGAAAAGGTATCCCAGTTATTAGGGAAATGCCATTAAAGATGTCTATAGAGATTTAGCAGTTAGGTTGACAGTTGTACCTACTAGTACCAATCATAGGAAGTACTGTAATTTTTATCTCTAAAGCATCTAAGCCCTTAATCATCAGGGGAACCAGCGGATAGCTGAATCAACTAATGCTTTAAACAAATTGCCCAAAAATGTGAACTGCTTGCTTTCAGATGAAGACTATGCTTGGAAACAAATTATGCTTAAGAACTTTAGTTAGTAAAATAAAGCAAACAAAAAGTTCTCTGATTTCAACAAAGAAGAGTTTACATTTAGATGATGAAAAAAAATTTTTTTCAAATGCTTTTTACTTATTTCTTTCATATTTTCCCTGGGGAAGAGGGACATGGTTATTTCCATTCTTTACTTGGGGGAAATATAGAGTAAATTGCTCAGGGGCTACACAGAATGAGACTGTATTGAAACGGTTTTAGATTGTTCTGTCGAGCTGTGCCATCCAAATCTTTTATAAATATTAGATGAATACTTTTTTGTTATTGTCAGAATCAGTTCTCCTAAAGTCGGATTTTAGAAGATGCATATTTTTTTAATCATCCAAGGTTTTAGAGAGATGAGAAGTAGTCACATCACATGCTAGTGTATGGTTTATCAGAGGAGAGACAGTCCCAGGTGCATTTTTTTTTTTTTTTCAGTAGGAAGGTATTAACATTTATTTGTATTCACTGTGCAAGTGACTGGAATTTGGGAAACTGGATAAAATAGACACCTATGGGGATGAAAAGGTCTGTATTTTTTAAGCTGAACCTTTCCTGAAACTAGAATTTTTGTCTCAGAGAGAATTCTGCTAAAAACCATAATGGAGGATATTGTCTTCATCTTATAAATTTTGGTTATTAAAAAGCACTTGAGGGCTTCCCTGGTGGCTCAGTGGTTAGGAATCTGCCTGCCAGTGCAGGGGACGCGGGTTCGAGCCCTGGTCCGGGAGGATCCCACATGCCGCGGAGCAACGAAGCCCGCGAGCTACAACTACTGAAGCCCACGTGCCTAGAGCCCATGCACTGCAACGAAGAGTGGCCCCCGCTCGCCGCAACTAGAGAAGGACTGTGCACAGCAACAAAGACCCAACGCAGTCAAAAATAAAATAAATAAATTTATAAAAAAACAAAAACAAAACTAGACTGTCCAGAGTCCTGGGTTCTGCTACTGCTGCAACCTAGCTTTAAGACTTTGGGCAAGTTTTGAAACTTCTCTGGACCTTAGTTTCCAGATCTGGAAAATGTGGATAATAATCCTTACCTTGCCGCCTCATAGGGATGCTGTCATGATAAATAGTAGCTTCCTTGTTTGTAAAATGTGAGTTGCAAATTAGACAGTTCTTAATCTGGGGGTGTTCCAAGAATCCCCTTGGAACTATGCAAATTTGTGTGTATATCTTTCTGGGTATGAGGTCTGTAGTTTTTGTCAGATTCTCAAATGGGCAAGTGACCTGAAGAAGGTTAGGAAACACTAGATTTGAGAATCTCTAACACCCTTTCTACTCTTAAATTCAAATTCCATTCTCCCTCTATGAATAATATATATGAAAGCACTTTGAAAGACTGCTAAACAAATGCAAAGTATCATTCTCCATCTCCCTTTATGGATCTAGTCTATGTAAAAGTCATAGCCATACTTGAAAAGGTGATCCCGCGTCTCCTGCATCGGCAGGCGGACTCTCAAGCACTGCGCCACCAGGGAAGCCCCTCCAAGTGCATTTTTAACATGGGTTTTGGAGCGTAGTGTTTCTTGAGCAAGAGAAATCAGGAAAAATTAAAATGTCTCATTTACACAACTTTAAATTGTGGTATGCTTTAAAATTCAAAATATTCAGCTCTTCAGTGATTTTCACATTTAAAAATACAGGTTTTTAAATACAGTGATGGTGGCTTCTGGTTAGACATTAGCAGTGCACTATACTAACGTCAGCAAAAAATGACCTGAAAGAAAGTATTGATTCCATGTCTGATTTTATATTTAAGCAGCCAATGGCAAATGTCCTCAAAATGGAATCAGATGTTTGTAACTTAATACTTAAGAAAAATGATGAGTGCATGTTTTTTTACTTTTAAGTAATCTTGGTGCTGCCTGGCTTAAGACAGAAACTGATGTAAAAATAAATGACTGCCTGCATAATTTATGTAATGTCCTGCTCCTGATCCTGTTTGTATTGATTTTTCTAAAAGGCTTTTGTGGCCACAGGAACCAATCTGTCTCTCCAGTTTTTTCCGGCCAGCTGGCAGGGAGAACAGCGACAAACACCTAGCCGAGAGTATGTCGACTTAGAAAGAGAAGCAGGCAAGGTAGGAAACATTTCTTTGCAATTTGAAATACTGTGGATTGTTTTATTATTAGAGATTATCTGATGCTTTACATTTTAATAAAGAGATCACAGGTCTGATTATACAGGCATATGATCAGATTTGTTTTCATTCCGTATTATAAAGGTATAATACAATTTTTAAAAATCAAATTTTTTATATAATTTTATTGCTAATTTCATGTTTATATCATTTGCTATAGAAAGTTCTAGCCCTTAAAGAGACTAGTGTGCTTTCTTACATGTAACATTTGAAACTTAATTCCTTTAAAGTGTTGACAAGAAATTTTTTGTTCTACTAAAATGTGTGTGACTATAGTGTTGTAAAAAAAAAATGAAATTTAGAGAAAAATGGGAAAAGCCTCTGTAGGCTTAAAATTTAATAATATTTGGAAATAGTTTATGGGTAGCTTTCTACTTCTGTTAATATAGCAAATTTAATTTGGAGAAAAACAATGTGAAGATGTTAACTTGGAAATAATTTTTTTGTTTTGAGGAAAAGCTTCTGGGAAACATAAATGTCTTAAAATTATCATGTTGGAAGTTTAGGTTGAAGATATGAAAAATGTAGTTGGAAATGTTTAAGCTGAGAGCCATATTAAAATCTAAGTTAAATGTGTTTATGATTTTGATGAAATGTTAATGAAAAATATCTTGGAGTGGTTCATCTTTTAATGTGGAAATTGACTTCTTGAAATAAAATATTTAAAGAAAGAAAATTTTTTGACCTCATTTTATACTCAGTATTTCTCCTGTTTCCTTTGCAGTGTATTTCTATACCTATTTTTATTAACTTGCTAAATTACTTTTCTAAGTGTCATCGTGAATAGTATAACCTATCACTTTATTTGCAAAACATAAGGAACATCTAAATAGTCCTTTGAGGAACTTAAAAGATTTTTGTATTGGACTGTATTAGGAAAAGGATTTTCTTTTTATTGATTGATTGAATTTTTGAATTTTATTTTATTTTTTATACAGCAGTTTCTTATTATCTATTTAATACATATTAGTGTATATATGTCAATCCCAATCTCTCAATTCATCCCACCACCACCACCCCTCCGAAAAGGATTTTCTTATTTTGTATATATACAATGAAGAGGGGTTTTTTGTTTTCTTTAATTTTATTTATTTATTATTTTTAAAAATAAATTTTATTGATTGATTGATTTTGGCTGTGTCGGGTCTTCGTTGCTGCGCACGGGCTTTCTCTAGTTGTGGCAAGTGGGAGCTACTCTTTGTTGTGGTGCGCAGGCTTCTCTTGTTGTGGAGCACGGGCTCTAGGCACACGGGCTTCAGTAGCTGTGGCATGTGGGCTCAGTAGTTGTGGCACATGGGCCCTAGAGCATAGGCTCAGTAGTTGTGGCGCACGAGCTTAGTTGCTCTGCGGCACGTGGGATCTTCCCAGACCAGGGCTTCAACCTGTGTCCCCTGCATTGGCAGGCGGATTCTTAACCACTGCACCACCAAGGAAGTCCAAGACCACATTATCTTTGGACTTAAGCCATTGAGATGTTTTCACTTATATGATCAACAAGAACAAAAACGTTAGATGGCTTATTCTAGAATTTAAAGGTTTTGTTTTCAGATATATCAGGAAGAGTGCTAGAACTGATGTAAGAAACTTATATTTTAATACTTGTTTTATAATTTTTTTTCTGTAAAGGGCCAGAGAGTAAATATTTTGAGTTTTGCAGGCGTATGTTCTCTGTTGCAACTACTCAGGTTCGCTGTTACAGTGTGAAAGGAGCCATAGACAATACGTAAACAAATGAACGTGGCTGTGTTCCAAGGATGGTAATGCTGGCAGAAATCTGTATCTTTCCCTCAGATTTAAATCTGTAAATGTTTGTGCATAGATGATATATTTCTCAAATATAATTTTACCAACACTTGTACTACACCAGCAGAATCTAGGGGAAAAAAATTTTAATGAAAAAGAACCCTGCTAGTATATCCCTCTATACCACTGGGATAAATAAGTACTCCAGTGAATTTAGAGAAAAGATAACCCGTGTTTTCTCATCCATAGAGCTCAGGCTACAGGGTCTCTTATTTCTCTTCCTCCTTTTTTATGATGTCTTTCTGATAACCATTAGCGTTTATTTCTGTGCCCATAGGACTAGAAGCAAAGCAAATTGAAGGAATTTCCCTAAATGTTAATTATTTGCCTCTGCTCCTTATATTGGATCCAAAATCAGTGTCCCTTCTTCCACATACTCTTGACCTTGTTACATCCTAAGGCAGCTTAGTTCTCTTCCCATTCCAATTATCTATTTTATACATATTAGTGTATATATGTCAATCCCAATCTCCCAATTCATCCCACCACCACCACCCCTCCGAAAAGGATTTTCTTATTTTGTATATATACAATGAAGAGGTTTTTTTTGAGAAGATGAGTGGTTAAGCCTTTCAAGTTAGGTATAATTAAGTCCTGGCTTCACATACTACTTCATTTATTTACTCTGTAACTTTGGACAAGTTATTTTATCTTTATGGTCCTCAATTATAACGTGAGTTTAATACATATCTCCCAGGGTGGCCCTAGTGATTAAATGAAATAGTGTATATAAAGTGCTTAGCTCAGTACCTGACACAGTTACTCAAAAATTCATTCAGAAGTTCTTTGTTGAACACCTGTTATGTGTATTGGGTGAACACTGTCCTGGGCACTTGAGATGCATCCGTGAACAAAACAAAGATCCTGCCCTAGAGATTGTTTTATGGAAGGAATGGAGTAGTAGGCAATATCCATAGTACATAAGGTATGTAATATGTTACAGAGTGGTAAGTGCTCTGGAAAAAAAGGAAAATTAGAGTAAAATAAGAGTTATCAATGAACAGGAATGTCTGTAATTTTAAATAGGATAGTCTGGGTAGAGAAGGTCATATTTGAGCAGAGACCCGAAGGAGGTTAGGGAATGATGAGCCATGCAGATATCTGAAGGAAAGATGTTCCAGACAGAGGACACAGCCTTGTAAAGGCCCTAGAGTGGGAGCTTGCACAGTGTGTTTGTTAAACAACAAGCGGGCCGGTATGGCTGGAGTAGACTGAGTGAGGAGGAGAGGAGGAGGAGAAGAGATGAGGGAGATATCAAGGAGCCGGTTTACGTGACTATGGGAGGCCATGCAACAACGTGGACTTTATTCTGAGTGGAGTGGGGAGTAGTTTCTGCTTTTTGAGCACATCAGTGATATGATCTGCCTTACGTTTTGAAAGGAACACTCTAGCTGCTGGGTTAACAACAGGTTTAGGGGGCAAGAGTGAAGTAGGGGGACCAGTTGGGCTATTGCTTTAGTCTTGGTGAGAGACTAGGCTGGTAGCAATGGAAGTGGTGAGAAGTAGTCATAGTCTGGATATATTTTGAGATAGAGCCAACAGGATTTGCTTATGGATTGGATGTAAGGTGTGAGAGTCAAGAATGACTCCAGGGGCTTCCCTGGTGGCGCAGTGGTTAAGAATCCACCTGCTAATGTGGGAGACGCGGGTTTGAGCCCTGGTCTGGGAAGATCCCACATGGCATAGAGCAGCTAAGCCTGTGCGCCACAACTACTGAGCCTGCGCTCTAGAGCCCACAAGCCACAACTGCTGAGCCCGCGAGCCACAACTATTGAAGCCCGTGCTCCTAGAGCCCATGCTCTGCAACAAAAGAAGCCATTGCGATGAGAATCCTGTGCACCACAACGAAGAGTAGCCCCTACTTGCCACAACTAGAGAAAGCCCACAGGCAGCAACGAAGACCCAGCTCAGCCAAAAATAAAATAATAAATTTTTTTTAAAAATCTTAAAAAAAACGAATGACTCTGGGCTTTCCTGGTGGCGCAGTGGTTAAGAATCCGCCTGCCAATGCAGGGGATGCGGGTTTGAGCCCTGGTCTGGGAAGATCCCACATGCCGCGTAGCAGCTGAGCTCGTGCGCCATAACTACTGAGCCTGCGTGCTGCAACTACTGAAGCCCACGAACCTAGAGCCCGTGCTCCACAACAAGAGAAGCCACCGCAATGAGAAGCCTGGGCACTGCAACAAAGAGTACCCCCCACTCGCTGCAACCAGAGAAAGCCTGCGCGCAGCAACGAAGACCCAGTGCAGCCAAAAATAAATAAATAAAATAAATAAATTTAAAAAAAAAAAGAATGACTCTTAACTTTCTGGTTAGAGCAGCTGGGAGTATGGGATTGCTGTCATCTGAGATGAGAAAAGCTGTGGGTGGAGCAGTTTTGAGGAGCAGTTTAGGATATGTGTGTTTGTGGTGGTAGCTTGTTGCAGCTTCTGTTTTCTCACCACCCACCCTTAACTTCTTAAGTTATGGCACTGCTTTTTCATAAGTGACCCTTTGCTTATCTCAAGAGTTCAGTGGCTTTTTTTTTTTAAATCAACTTTATTGAAATATAGTTTACTTACCAAAAAATGCACCCACTTTAAGTGTATAATTTGAGTTTTAACAAATGTACACACCCATGTAAACACCACCCACAATCCAGATAATGTTTCAGTCCCCTCAGTGCCCTTTTACAGGAATCTGGGAGTGGCTTGGCTGGGTGGTTCTGGCTTAGGGTCTCCTAGGAGATTGCAGTCAAGCCCTTGGGGCTGTGCAGTCTCTGAGGGCTTGGCTGGAGCTAAAGGATCCCCTTCCAAGCTCACTCATCACTTTCGGTCAGTGGCTTCAGTTCCTAGTCACATGTTCCTCTCCACAGAGAGAAAAAGAATGAGGTCACCCTGCTTTTTATGACCTTTTCTCTGATCACTTGTGTCTTCTCCTGTTCATTAGAAGTGAGTCACTAAGTCTAGCCCACACTCAACAGGGAGGGGGGTGGTTTATTCACAAACATGAGAGGAGGCTGGGGTCATTGGGGCCATCTTGGAGGCTGGCTACCACAATGTTCACTTAAATTTGATGAATTCAGAAAAAAATTAGAATGCTAATAGGAAACAGAAGCTCCATAGTCTCTTTGATTTGAAATATGGCTTTATGATCTA